AGCAGACATGCCATGGCAGCCATGAAGAAAAGAGAGAGAGCAGCAGCAGCAGCAACACCACCACCTACCATGCATGGCATGTGGTACCCTTTGCTTGCAGTGTTGTTGTTGTTGTCGCCACCATGACCAAAAAAGAAGTTTTTGTCACTGTTCACCTGGGATCTGATCTGAGGATCTGATCTGACCATGTTGTTGCCACTCATGGATCCCAGATCATGACCCCCAGACGATCCGTCCTTTGTTGCCCCTTCCCAACAGTCACACCAGCAGATCCTTGCTGACAATGTCGATTCATCTGCGCCATGTGCCTGGCCAGCATCAGCACCACCTCACCACCAACAATGGATCCCAGATTGCAATCTGAGCTGTCAATCATGTTGTCCCAGAATTACCACCACCAGTCATCGTCACCAAACAAAACAAAGGACCACCCTCAGTCACCCACTGCAGATCTGGCCCCAGTGCCATCACCCACCAAACAACTCTAAACCCCAAGTGTCCTAACCCTAAACCCTAACTTGTGCACAGGTGGAGCTCTAACAACAGTGCCTAATACAACCAAGTAGTTAACCTTGTGGAGACATAAGGGTAGTCAATGTAAGAGTTCATGTAGTTACTTCTAGAGATGCATTTATTGTGTGACTTTTTGGAAGAGAAGGGCCAATTGTTGTTCCTGACCACTCTCATGGCTAGGGGGAGCCTGCGTAATGGTCGCCAACTTGTATCCAGCCTGGCTGTAACCTTCCAGAAGGGCAGGTAGCCACCAGCCATACATGAAGTCATATTTTTTCTTGGTGAAGCAAGAAGGGAAGTGGGGATCTTTTTTGGGACGGCGCCAAGGAAGATGGGGTAGAATCTTGAGCAGGTCAGGTCCATGACAGATTACAGGTGAGAGCAGTTGGTTGGTGTAGTTGTCTGATTCCAAGTGCACTCACAAGTAGACACTACCAGGCAGGCTCCTGTCCACAACAGCGGTTGTTGAGGAGAGCTTCTTCTCCAGCTTGGCCAGGCAGAAGTAGGCAGCTTCACACTTGAGTCATTCCATGAGGGCCAAGGAAAGCTGCAACACATCAAGGTTGCCATCACACAGGTATTGAAGGATGAACCTGAACAGCTCTCCATCACAGTCTATGAACACTCAACCATCATCATCCTTCTCAAGTTCATGGCATCCACTGAACATGGCCGCCAACATAGAGTCAGCCTCAGCCATTAAGGTAGTCACACTCATGGTGAAGTGAACACCACCCACGTCTAACTTGACTCTGCCGTTCAGCCTCTCACGCTGCTCCATGACGAACTTCTCCTTTCCCACCAGGCTCACTTCAGCCAACTTGACCTTGCGCTCAAGTGTGGTGAGGTACTTCTCTTGCTTTTCAATTAGTTGGGCATTGGCCTTTTGCAATTCAATTTTGGCCGTGAGTTCGGCCTCAAGCCTCTTGTTGCGTTCTTCAAGTTGTTGGTACTGCGCTTGAAGCCTGGACACTGCAGCAAGGATGTCATCCATGGCGTTGAGAAAAGACAAAGCCCCCCTCTTATTTTTCTGCTGGCCAGGAAATGGGTCAAGAAACATTACATTAGGTGAAAATCATAAACTCCACCACCCATCATCTTCATTTTTCACTGTCACTGTGTTGCTGACACCAACAACAATCAAGAGACGCAACCATGGTAAAACACAATATTTGTTTAGGGATTTATGAATAAGAAAGTTGCTGATGGCTCCCCTTCATCATCATTAGGATGCAGTGGACCACCCCCACTCACTGGAGCAACTCATTTATGTCCTTCCGAAACCCATGGATGATGAGCTCATCTGCACCATTTGCCACAACCCTCTTCTTGACCCCATGGTCAAGCCCAGCTGCCGCCAAATGTTTTGTCAAAACTGTCTGGCAGCATGGCTGGGGGGTCTGGTTCCTGCCCGCACTGCCACCAAGCTGCTTCCATCGCAGAAGTCGTTCCCCCGCCCCGTTTCATCTCCAATATCCTCAACGCTCTCCACATGGTTTGTCCGACGTGTCATGGACATATCAAACGCAATAAGCTTATCTCTCATGGAGAGAAGTGTCTCCAGTGTACGTGCTCCTCTCAATGAGTGGGACTTCTCATTACTGACTCTGGTGCCAGCTTGCAAGTTAGGGTGTGGGCGACTGATCGCCCCCATTGATGTGATTACGCACAGCGAGGTCTGCCCAGCGAAGATGTTGGCATGTCCCACAGCTGACGTGGGTTGTGAGACGACTGCTGCCAGATCTAAACTGGAAGAACATACCAAGCACTGCCCACTCCTCCCCATGCATCCACTTCTGCAACGTTTGCAGGCACTGGAGAACAGCTCCTGGATCCAAGCTCAGGTTTTTCCTTTCTTATTCCTAAGCCCTCACTTTGCTCACATGCTAACCCTAACACAATAGATGATCACAGAGCTGCAAGAAGAGAATCATATGCTGCGTCGTAACACGTCATGCTGGGTTGAACCCCCTCTGCCACTGGCGCTGAAACTTCACCCAAGAAAAGTAACGGTAGTGGATATAGCACCGCCAGAACAGCAAACTGAGGTCTTGGTCCACGTGGGTGCGTTACCTGACCTTCTTGTTGTGGATGGCTTGTGGCTCATTGTGGTGTAGTCCTTGGCTACTGTGGCCATGGTGGCAGTGCTGCTCTCGTGGTGGAGACTCGGGAGCTGCATGGTGGAGGCCGGCACTTCTTCAAGGCCCATACAGGTCCGGACTCTAGCCACTCGCAGTGCTTCTGGCTGCCTATTACCTCGGAGCGCAAGGTGCATGCCACCCTTACTGGAGGAGGCGAGTATGGAGGCAGGAACGGAAGAATCGAGATCCTTGCCTATCGGTGATACAGGCGGCTGGCTCGCACCGTTGATCCGCCCAAGATGATTATTAAATCAATAAATAAATGAAAGAAAGGCAAAGCGTTAGTTTTGTTTGTGTCAAGGATATGGAGCTGCAACGCATGTCCAACCAACAACTCGTGCAACTGTACGACAGCGCGTCGGCCAACAATGATAGCATCACATGCGATGACATCATCATGCATGCCATGGAGCACGATCTCGCACCCATCATCGACCACGTACAATCATCTGGATACATCCTCACCGCGTACCACCATGGAATCAAGGCGATCCGACAGGGGAAGCCCAAAATTCGCAGCGATTGAGTAACTTGCGCCGTCGCCGATTGTTAAAATGCACGGCCGCTTGGGCCATCAAATATAAAGGTTCAAGTGTGATGAACTGGTGAGGGACGTTCTGCGTTCTTCAAGAACGGCGTTTGGGCAGGATGGCGCTCCCCCGATTACGGCACCGAATGTGCTCGTGAGTAGGCTGCGATGCGTCAATTCGGTTTTGCGATTTCGGATCATCGCCTCGGATTACGACGCCATCGTCAACGGTGAGGCATCGAGTGCTGGCCAACTGGCGAAGCGACTGAGGGCCATGCAAACACAAGCCGACAGGTTCCAGGATAGAAAGAAGGACGAAACGTTGTTCGGCTTTTTAATCAAGTCCGACCGCTTCCACACGGCGCGACCCTTGGTCGACGAAATCGTGTCTCTCATTCAGGATCTGGCCGATCGGATCCTGAAGGAGGCCCAAGCCGAGCTGTCGGACGCGATGCATGCACAGGCCATCGCCTTTGCTTGCCAACAAAAATAAACTGCCTGCGCATCACGACATGGACGACATGATTGATCGGATGTGGAAGCAATGTTGTGAGATGGTGTCGTGCTTGATTCAGTCACTCTTCTTTTACACAAACGGGCACGGATGACAGCCCTTTCGACAAGGTGCCGAACGAGTTGATCGACTGCGTGCTGCGGATGGCGATCGGCGACGGTGGATGTTGGCCTCCGATCGCCGGGGTGTGCCACCGATTTCGGGACGTCGTCGCGCCGCCATCCTGAACGAGGGAGTCGCGATCCTCCGGTAAATACTCGCCAACGGATTCGAATGGTCGGATCGGATCGCCAGGATCGCGGCCAAGATAAACAGTGCCGGCGTGTTCAAGTGGCTGACTCGCGAACGGATCGCGCCGCGCGATCTTCGCCGCTTCATCGTAGGATTGAGCAAGGACGGCGCTCTGAAATATAAATAAACGCGAGACAAAATCATTGCCCCACACAATGTCCAAGCCTTGCATCGGGGGCCGGCACCACTACCTGGACTTTGCGGCAACGAGAGACGCGTGGAAGAAGGGCATCGGCGATCGGTACTTGTGGCAAATACCCGACGCCGGGTACACAAGGAAAGGATCGAGAGGATTGGATCGGGTTTGCGTTTATGGTAAATCAACAAAGTCAAGCAGCAACTCTCCTGCCATGGCTCAGGAACTCGGCGATGGCGTCACTGCGCAGTCTTGCGTGGTCGCAGCTCTGGCACGGCTGGGATGCAAGCAGGACGCCAGCGGTGGGCAATATGACGATCTGGTTGCCGTCCAGGTCGATCGTTAGGTAGAGTTCCTCGGTGACCTGTTGGCCCTGGTAGTCGTAGCTGACGGTGACGTTCTTCCACATGTTTGGTTGGCGGTGTATGAGTGAATGGGAGTGTGCGGCCCCGTCCCTATTTATGTGGACGGCATGTCTGCGAAAAGTTCGGCACAAATACCGGCAAAGGGATGCGCCAAACGCCAAAGCGACACGGTGCCACGGACCGACGGGATCGAACTGCCGGACGACAGCCCAACGATCCTTGGCGGGATTGAGGCGAACGTCAACAACCGCAACGCGATCGCCGAGGAAGATTGGCACACGGCTCCGCCGTTTTGACCGGCGTTCTTGTTTACAATTACGAGTAAAGAAGGCATGGACGAACAACAACGTTTCGCCTTCTTCGCAAGCAGGGTGTGGAGGGAGTGCAAGCTCGGTTCGTCTCCCAACTTGGACGACTATCACACACGCGAGCTTCTCAAGATCACCGAGTGTGCGCGCGTGCGTCCGATCCTGCAGCGAGCGCTCTCACAGCAATGCGGCGGATGGCGCCTCCGCGGTTCGCGCACGGGCTACGATCTGGACGCCAAGATCGCGATTCACGTGCGAAACCTGCCCTCGAATCGTGGTCTTGGGATCCTTTCGGCGACGTCGAGGATTGCCTGTGTCATGGACGCTGTGGACGCGCTGGAAAACCAATAAATGCAGCACCGTCATTGCAACCAAACGCCGACACATCATGCAAACCAACTATGGCACCATCGTGAACAAGCTGCGGCTGGCTGAGGACTCTGCGCGCAGGGCCGTCGAACGTGTGGCACAGCGCGGGGGTGACATTGAGGCGCTCAAGGATGCCACCGAGAAAATGGAAACAGAGAGAGCACGACCTTTGTCACCGTAACGATGGATCGCGGATGCGATGCTCGGATTCTCTGGGCGCGTCTTGCGTTTGCGTTCGTTGCCCTCTTGTTGACATGGTGGTTGTGTGTCAAAATCAAGTACATTTAAGGCATTGATCAATTGGGAACATGGGTTGCGGCATCGTTCGGCATTGCAGCAAGGGGGTCCATAACATTCGTTGAGGGGGTCTCCGTGGCGAGAACGTCGGTTGGGCTTGCGGGTGCTACGCCAACGACAGCACGCGTTCAGATCCGACGCCTTGATGAGGAGGATGGCGTTGGGGGCCGCCTTGTCGTCCTTGGCATCGCCGTTGTCGGCCTTGGGGGTGACGTCCCAAAAGGAGGGGGAGTCCTTCTCCTCGCGCTTGGGCTCGGCGAGGTAGGCCACCCACGTCTCGTCGCGCGACCACACCAGCGACCCGAAGGTCTCTGTCTCTCACCCCCACCACCACCACCACCACCACCACCACCACCACCAGTGTTGTCAACACCACACGTCAGCCCCATCTCACCAGCCCAGTGACCAGTA